ATCTATCTATCTATCTATCTATCTATCTATCTATCTATCTATCTATCTATCTATCTATCTATCTATCTATTTGCGATAAGGCTTTTCTGTGTAGCCCTGGCTGTCCTGGAATTCATTTGTAGAATAGGCTGGACCAGGCTGGCCATGAATTCAGACATTTGTCTGCCTCTGCCTTCTGAGTGCTGGGATTAAAGGCATGCACCATCACCACTACCCATCTCTTCCTCTCTGATGATTAAATACAAGCACTCACAGCTATAAAACTTTCCACTTAGAGCTGCTATAGTTGTATAACAAAGGGTTTCATAACTCTTTGGTTATGAACCCTGTGGTTCTCTCCCTTCTCCCCTCCCAATCCCTTCCTTCCTCCACCCTCTGCATGCATGCCCCACCCCAAGTCCACTGATGGGGGGGGGTCTTCTTTTCCTTCCTTCTTATCCTAGTCAATTAGGTCTCATCAGGAGTGGCTGCATTGTCTTCTTCTATGGCCTGGTAATGCTGCTTCCCCCTCAGGGGGAGGTAATTAAAGAGCAGGCCAATCAGTTCATGTCAGAGACAGTCCCTGTTCCTATTACAATGGAACCCACTTGGATACTGAACTGCCATGGGCTACATCTGAGCAGGGGTCTTAGGTTGTCTCCATGCATGGTCCTTGGTTGGAATATCAGTCTCAGGAAAGACCCCTGTGCTCAGATATTTTTGGTTCTGTTGCTCTCCTTGTGGAGTTCCTGTCCTTTTCAGATCTTACTGTTTCCCACTTCTTTCATAAGATTCCCTGCACTCTGCCCAAAGGTTGCCCATAAGTCTCAGCATCTGTACTGATAGTCTGCAGGGCAGAGCCTTTCAGAGGTCCTCTGTGTCAGGCTCCTGAGTTGTTCCCTCTTTTCTCCTTCTTCTGACATCCATCCTCTTTGACTTTCTGGAGAGGAAATGAGCATTTTAGTCAGAGTCCTCCCTCTTGATTAGTTTCTTTAGGTGTACAGATTTTAGTAGGTTTATCCTATATTATATGTCTATATGAGTGAGTATATACCGTGTGCATCTTTCTGCTTCTGGGATAGCTCACTCAGGATGATCTTTTCCAGATCCCATCATTTACCTGCAAATTTCATGATTTCCTTGTTTTTTTATTGCTGAGTAATATTCCATTGTGTAGATATACCACAATTTGTCCATCCATTCCTCTACTGAGGGGCATCTGGGCTGTTTCCAGCTTCTGGCTATTACAAATAAGGCTGCTACAAACCATGGTTGAGCAAATGTCCTTATTGTGTATTTGAGCCTCTTTTGGGTATATGCCTAGGAGTGGTATAGCTGGATCTTGAGGAAGTTTTGTTCCTAGTCCGAGAAAGTGCCAGATTGCTTTCCAGAGTGGTTGTACAAGTTTACATTCCCACCAGCAGTGGAGGAGGGTTCCCCTTTCTCCACAACCTCTCCAGCATGTGTTGTCACTTGAGTTTTTGATCTTAGCCATTCTGATGGGTGTAAGGTGAAATATTAGGGTTATTTTGATTTGCATTTCCCTGATGGTTAATGAGGTTGAGCATTTCTTTAAGTGTTTCTATGCCATTCGATATTCCTCTATTGAGAATTCTGTTTAGCTCTACACCCCATTTTTTAATTGGATTACTTGATTTTTTGCTGTTTAACTTCTTTAATTCTTTATATATACTGGATATTAGTCCTCTGTCAGATATAGGGTTGGTGAACATCCTTTCCCAATCTGTAGGCTGTCGTATTGTTCTGACTTAAGTGTCCTTTGCTTTACAGAAGCTTCTCAGTTTCATGAGGTCCCATATTGATTGTTGCTCTTAGAGCCTGT